CCAGAGTCAGCTAATTATTTTCTTACTGGTCACAAAAGTCAGCAGTGATTGATTAGAAAAAACAAAAAAAAACACAGCTATACCTGCAGTAAAAGCATGCCTGTTAAAAAATTGCAGACATATTACATTAAAAGCTTCAATTCAGCCAAACTTTTTTCTGTTTTTTTCTGTTACTTCTGCTCATTCCTGGAGTCTTGGAATATAGGACATTTGTTATGGCTGTAGGTCTGGAGCAAGATGAGATACTCTGATTATGTAAGAAAATAACAGGTTTTCTTAGGGGGATACCGTTGTTTATCCTGCTAAATGAAAATGAATATATGATGTATGTAAATGTATGATTAATTTCATGTATTATTCAGGGAGAATTATCAAAGTCTTAAAAGTCTTTAAGCTTTATTTTAAATTTTTTTAAATATGCAGTGGCAACTTTTAAACTTCAGAGTTGGATAGCCAGGAGGAATAAATTTTCTTTCTTAGCATTAACAATATTTTTATCCCTTTTTTAAAAGTAGAATTTGAACAAGAAGGAGGTAATTAAATACTTAATTTACAGTGGAAGAATATCTTGTGTGTTACTAATGGTTGACTGTCCTAAACCAAAACACGAGAGAAACCTGTTCCACAAAACTTTAAGTCCTCTTTGACCTAAGTGATGTGATCAGAGATGCAAATTTACCCATTGCCTTTGGGAAATGTGATTTTTGTGAAGAATTGGAGAGTAGGAAATTAGTGGGCCAGTAATACCTTTACCCAGAGAAGCATACCAAGATAAAAAGATGAAAATAGATGTCCTCTCCACTTGCATTTAAGCCTGTTCACAGTTTATCATGTTTGCATTGTACTGATATCTCAAGTGCATGTGCAGCTGGATCTGATTCATAACCTACTGGCCATACCGATTGCTTACACTCAAAATTCACTCTGCATCCACTTGAAAAAGTAATCTGTCCCAAACAAAATCCTACACAGTAAAAATAAGTTTCTACTTTATGATCATTTTGAAAAAATAAATGATGCTTCTTCATTGGCAATCTCCAGTCACTAGTGTCTTTCTTCTAATGCATCCTTTCAGTACAGAAAGGACACTGCGGTGGTGGAGCAGGTCCAAAGCAGGACAACAAGGCTTGTAAAGGGCTTGGAGAATATGCCCTACGAGGAGAGACAGAAGGAACTGGGGCTGTTTAGTCTGGGGAATAGGAGGATGAAATGAAGCCTTATTGCTCTCTTCCAATATCTGAAAGTTGCTTACAGCGAGAGCGGGTTTGGTCTCTTCTCACTGGTGACAGGTGACAGGACAAGGGGAAATGGCCTCAAGTTGCACAAGGGTAAGTTTAGGTTGGAAATCAGGAAGAACTTCATTACAGAAAGGGTTGTTAAGCACTGGAATAGGCTCCCCAGGGAGGTGGTTGAGTCACCATCCCTGGATGTGTTTAAAAGCCATTTGGATGTGGTGCTCAGGGACATGATTTAGCGGAGGTTTGTTGGAGTTGAGGTAGTATGATTAGGTTGTAGTTGAATTTGATGATCTTGAAGGCCTTTTCCAGCCTAAGCAATTCTATGATTCTTTGATCAGAACAACTTGTGATTACCAGAGTAACATGTTTAGTGAAGTTTTTATTATTCCATACCAAACCATGGCATCTGACTTTTTCAAGTGAATGTGATTTTCTTTACAATAACAATCGACTATTTGCTCTGATGCAATCACTGACCAAATCTCAACACAAATATCATTTTTGAATCACCTGTAACCAAACATTCTCTCTCTGTTTCATGGGCAAGGGGAAACACTAATAAACTATCAGTGCTGATTTGAAGCAAACTATTTTACTTTGCCCTGAAATCGAGTGGAATTGTTACTATCTTTATGTTAATAGTGTAGCCTCTTTAAATACAAAGCATTGCAAACATTCTGCTGGAACTTCTCTATACTGAGAACATCAGTATCTTTGTACTTTTCTACCTATGCAGTACTATAAGAGAGAATTCAGTTTCTCACTCACGGCAAGAACTCTTCCTTCTTTAACTATGAGGGCTGTATGCTGTGTCAGAGAAAGAAGTTGTGACTTTATAATGAGTACCCCATGTGGGTGGACAGCATATGGTTATATCTCTGTTGAATAAGATTTCTGTGCCACAAAGTTCCTGTTAATAGCATGCTTTTTCAAATTTATTTGCTTGCATCCTTCCTGTAATAAAAAAAGTGTCTCATGAATGGCAGTAGAAAGTATTATATTGTGAAGGTTAGGAGAATAGTAAAATTTTAGTATAACACCAGCACTCTATTCTCTAGGCACAGCTAATAAGTTGCTCCAAAAATAATGCCTCCTATCTATTTCCATGTAAAGTACAATTGATACAATAGGACTATTTGATGAGAAAATTCTCAGCTGCAAAACACTTATTTTCAATACATTCATCACCATTTGCTGTTCGTTTTCGTCAGTGATGAAAAAAAGCCTGCATGCTGAGCTCACAGAAAATCTGCGCCAGCGAAAGTGACCCACTGTAAGTGTCACCACTGCTGAAACGCACCACCAAATGCCTCATTGTGCTCATATCCACTCTTTGGTCTGCAAAAATGTTCAAAAAGCATCGATGAATGTCAATGAATGTCATTTTTTTTTCATGTGGAGGAATTCAGTGACACACCTAGGCTTCATACCCACTTCCATGTCAGATGCCATCCTGTCAGACTGCCTCTCTGCTGCCATCTATCACACAGCGACAAATGTAATGGAATATTGGTGGTGAGGCTCAACCTCTTCTGCCATACCATCACCATCTGCCTCTGTCATCATGGGCCAACACAATATAATATGAGGCATTACTTTCAGAGCAGCAGTTGCATTTCGTTATATTCCTGGGAAAAAATATTCAGAAACTGGGCAATTACATAAGAAAAAAAAAATCCAAACAAAGTGAAGATGCTTAAATATTATTTTTTCTGTGCTTGTACTATTCAATAATACTGCTGTTGTGTATTTGGAATTTAATTTTGTTTCCAGCAGACATGCTCATCAAGATACAACAGAGAAACAAAGTCCTCTATGTATGGGACTTCAGAGGGGAGTCCTGTCATTTTATGTTTTTCATAACTAAACAATATGAATAAGATGTTTAAAGACAGACTATTGAAGAACTTCAGTAATTTACATATTGCAATTAAACCAAAAGTAATCGAAATGTGAAACATTTGCTGTACTCTTCTTCTCAAAATAGTATTTTTATGAAAACTTGGCTTCTTTAAAAGAAAGTTTAGTAAAATAAAATCTTTGACATTTCTTATGAAGATAACTTTAAAGTTCCTTGTTATACTTTATCTAAGACTATTGTCCCATTAATCAAAACACGGTCTAAATTTAAGGCAATGTAGTTAGCTTCCTTTGAAATGTATGACTAATACAATTTTGATTTTAAATATTATGATGTAGTGGCCAATGTATCCTATTTTTTATAGAAAACTCTATTTTCTTGTTTAGGTCACTCTATTTAAAAAAAAAAAAAAAATTGAACAAAATTCTTTAGCATTTTGAGTGACTTAAAACATTCAATATAATCAAAAATACAGGTGTGAGATCCACCATCTTTCTGACAGTAACTTGACAAGTGAAAGCCCAATCCATCTTAAAAGCAGAAGGAATTTAATACCATAGAAAATGGTAATAATGATATTTAGTGTTGGATTTTCTCTCCAGGTACATCAGGTATCCCTTTGCCACTGGCTTCAAGTCACCTTTCAATCATTCAGAGTTTTTGTTTCCAGTCTCTGCTTCTTATACAGCTTAAAAACTGTTCTTTTTCCCTTGGCATCTGAAGACTCAGCTCTTACTTGAATATTTTAGAGTCATCAATCTTGTGCACAAATTTGTAATACAAACATACTAAATACTACATTGACAGTAATTAATATCTTCCTCACTAATTTCTGGACAGCTTCTGTATTTTATTGCAAAAGCACGGCCAGATTATCACATAACTTTTGGGGAATATGTGGAGATTCTGAAGCTGCCTGGTGATTTTGTGCATCAGTTGTAATGGAAATGGTATGCTATGTGACATAGTAGAGATGATGTACTGTTATTTCTGTGATTTTTTACTTCAGTCACTGACTGTATGATCTGTTGAAGTCAGTGGAAGGCAAAAACAGAAATTGTTTGATGAGGTGGTCAAGGTTAGGTGCAATTGTTTGAGAAAATAGTTCAAGTTTTAGGTTAAACTGCTATACCAGAGCTGTAGGTAGCTTCCTATTTGTTCTTTTGGAAGGCTTGGTCTGTGGAGGGTGGAGGAAAAAAAAAAAAAAAAAAAAGATTTGTAGAAACTTTGCACAAACTGAACATGTTTTAAGGATTTTAATTTATTCTTTTGGGGCACATTTCATTTCTGCAAATTAGAGGAAAAAGTATGCTAATGATAATGAAATGCAAAAAGTGTAGTGCAAAAACTCATTTTCGTAATGTTGTAGCTTCCTTCCTATATATTATTTTTCTTCCACTGTTTTCTTCTTTCTCACGGTTTCAAATGGAAGTAAAAATTAAATGTATTTCAGTTATTTTTTATTATTTCAGTCTTCATTTTATCAATGTACCAGTTGCATTAAATGTCTTTCACATGGATACTTCAGCTTATATGCTACAGACTCAAATTTTGAGCTGGCAGACTAGTGCAGTGACGTTTTTCTGAGCTGTCTTTACTGCCACCACACTAGATATTCATTCTCTGCTGGGAGTAAAGATGAGGTTTTTCATCCTGAGACATCCACAGGGCCTGTGTTGAGAAGTTAGAAGTTAAATTTTCTGTAGGGTTTTTTGTTGTTGTTGTTGTTGTTTTTGTTGTTGTTGTTTGAAGAATAAAGAAATGGATGGCAATTGTTGTCTTATTTTTTTAAATCTTTCAGACAAAACTCTTGAGAATTTTGACAGCCATTAGTAGTGACAACACTTTGTTCTTTCAGGTTTAGATATTTACACAACATGTTTTTTCTTTTCTGTTTTTAGCACAAGAAGAATGGGCCACAACCCGTTCCAGCCTAAAGGCACCTCCTCCAAGGTCAGCTCGAGGTGCTTACAGGGAACACCCCTATGGTAGATATTGAAGGTCCTCCTCATCTGTGACCTCAACTCAAAGACAATTAATAGCCTGTGGTCTCCGCATAAACAGCAACAAGACAAGTAATAGTCAATTTCTTTTCTATCCTAGGGATTACTGATCATTATTATCCTATGTACTACTTGTATTTCCTATAACATTGGAGTGACATTGGCATTAGTATTATTTTATAACACGGACTTAAAAAAAAAAAAAAAAAAAAAGGAGAAAGAAAAAACCTTTGGCAAGCATTGTCTATAAACCATTCAAAGATAATGTTCTGTTGGTTGTATTCATTGCTGTGTGTAACTTTAAAAGCATGAACCTGTTACAGATCTTGAGTCTCTCTACATACTAGCTAAGGCTGAGTTTTTGTTTAGGGTTGCTGAAAGACTGTAATATGATTCTTTTTTTCTTTTCCTTTTTTCATTTGAGCCATACAATAATCAAGTTGTAGATAAGATGTTTTAACCTGTCTTTTTAATATATGTTAGTTTAGATTAAGATGTTCGATATTAAGTTTGTAAATTTAATTTTAAATGCTGTTTTAATGGGGTTGAAAACAAGCAGCTACTGTATGTATGTAGCTAACTGAATTTGTTCAGTGTTTTAACCTGTATTTGTTAAAAAAAAAAAAATCACATAAAGTTCCATGTGTAAGCTTCTCTAAATAGGAAACCATAATTTTGTCAAATATGTTTGCCATAATTTGTCAATAAAGCTGAAACCTTTTGTAACAAACTAAATTTGGAATTACTTGTTTTCTAGCTTTAAATGCCTGCTTTATTTCTTTTTCAAGAGATGCCTAAAATGTTTTTTATATAAAAATTACAAAAATGAACCCAAGCTTGTTTTAAGATTTTTTTGTGTAAGACTTTAAAAGTTGTATTAATAACTTCTGGTTGTTAAATAATTTAAAAGTTAACAAACTAAACTGTTACATGAATCATGGTTAGTATCCACTAATGTATAACATGTTAATGGAAAAAAATGCTTTAGAACAATAAATGGATTTTAAACTATCCTCTAAGCTTGATCTTGCTAAACACAAACTCTGATTGACTTGTTTGTATTAGCATGTCTCTCGTGAGAATGTAATGGAGTTTAAAGAGGTAAGATTACCACTTACCACTGTTAGACTGTCTAAATGCTAGTTCTTCAACCTTTGAGTTTCCCCGCACATTAAATATCCCATTCAACATGTAAGCATTGCATAGATTCACATATTTGTTTTCACTCGGAAGAGTGCGTGGATTGCATTTTTGTAGTATATATCAATTTGTCTTGATAAACAAATCATCAGTGTCACTGCCCACTTGTTGGTATTCAACTTCAAAAACTTTATTTGTAATTTTCAGTGCTAAATATCACCGCCCTTGAAGGCAGTTAGAGGGCTGATATTTCTTTTGAGACTATCAGACTTGATGGCTGATGATTATTAAGGAAATATGTCGCAGGACTCAAAGGATGACTAAACGTTAAACAGGTAACACTAATAGTAACTCTGTAATTTTGAGTATGCAACAGTAATGTTAAATATTCTCAGTTATTAAGTTACTGATAGTTAAAAAAGTAAACCTACCAAAAGATAACAAATAGGTATATAGGCTATTAAAATATCTAATTAACATTAACTAGTGACAACAAAATTATTCTGCAATATATAACCCTCAAGGTAATAAACAGAACTAAAATTAGCAATAATAGTAATGCAACTCTTGCTAACAACAAATATATAACCTAAATTTTGATGAAAACAAAACAAACAAACAAAAACAACAGATGACTTGATGGTAGGGATGCCAAAACTGTTAATCCTTTAAATAGTCTTTTTGTTTACAGTGGCTTTTTGTCAATGTGATTGGTTTACTTTTTTGATGAGAATAAAGTAGTTTGTGAACAAAGTCTCTTGCAGCTGGAGTTGCATGCTAACTCTTTTTGGATAGTTTACTAAGCATATGTTCTGTCATTTGAACCTGATGTGTTAAAGTGAATGCAGTAGGCTATGTGATGGTTACATTGAGTTTATTCTGTCTCACTGTTTCAGGGCTCTGGACAGCTAAGCAGCCAATCTGCTGAGAAGTGCTCAGGTAAGCTCTTCCACATCTCAGGGTTTTTTCCTATTTCATGTTTTAACTGTGCATTTCTCTGTACTAACACATGGAAACATGTTCAGCTCAAGTTTTACAACAAATAATAATTTCCAGCAGCGTTTCCTCACGTAACAGCACAACAGTATAATGGTAATCAAAGCATTTGCTTCTGTAAGGTAAAATATCTTTCAGTCAAATAGAAGTCTTGTACTCAGATGTTTTGATCGTGAATATTAACATGGTACAGCTGCTCCTGCTAAAAACAAGAAATCATGTCTATAAAAATGTATTTAGATTTTGGTAACAAATTAGTCACAGATGTAGAAAAATGTAGTACTGTCTTGCTTGTTTCTCCAAATACTTTCTGTGACAGAAATAGCTGTAGATATATTTCTTCTTTTGCTTAGTAATTATTTCTTTGTTACACTTCAGAATGGCAGATACCATAATAGCCTTACACAGCAAGGACATGAATCAAGGCAAAATTCACTGTATTTCATTGATACAAATACCTAATGATTAAAGTGTTTGTTTCTGTTATAACCGTGTCACACACAAACTTCAGATTTTTTGTAAGATTTTCAGTTGAGAACAAATGTGTTAGACAAATTGTTGAGACAAATTGTGTTAGAAACACAAAAAAGTCAGCTTGGATATAAATTCCTCTAAGCTGACTTCACCCAGAAGTGCCACCAAATCACAACACAAAATGCTCAAATTTTCTTAGTCTGACATGATTGTTAAGCTAGATAAGAGTTAATAAAAAAAAACAGATGCTGTTCACTAAATACACAAACCGAACACGTGTATCACCCTGGCATCTTTGTCTGTGTTTGGGGTCTGGCTGATGTAACATTTTCAGCTATCAAGTGTATTCAGTGGTTACTTATCAGCACAGGTTGCATTGTCTAGCAAGATAGATTTTCCTCTCCAGTGGGCTGCCTCAAGACCTTGACAAGTTTGATTTACGTAGTACAGCCGCTTTACAGGCCAAGGTGATGTGACTGCATGCTACGGTTGCTTCAGTTTGAGTGTGCCACTACAGTAAAATGCTTCCACCTACCCGCCTTTCATAGAGTTATACAAACGTGCTTCAGTCACTGTATGTTATATCTATAGATAGGAAAAACACATTCATCTATTATATGCGCAATTTCATACTGATATAACAAATAATAGATTATTATATACCACAGATTTTGCTGTATTTCAGGAAAAGCTCATATGCCTTACTAAAATATGTGAAAACTCTGAGCTGCCATACCTGATGTAACTGAGATCCAGGAGTAAATGCATAAAATGAATTTCACACTTGTGCACCGAGTTTTTGTGTGAGGGCAACTAGTGAAAGCTCCTTGGGGTTGACTACGGTACAGACTGTTTTATACCAGGGCATTGTCTTTTAGCAGTACTATCTCAAAAGTCCACTTTTACAGCTATTATTTATGAAGATTGAAAAAATTGCAGAATATGTGAGTAAAATGATGCATTGTAAAATATTCTTGTACAAGATTAATAAGAAAAAAAATGGAGATAAGCCAGTGAAAGCAGCTGCTTATGCAAATATTTGTTCTATTGACTTTCAGGAAACTAGAGTGAAAAATTATCCATGACTGCACGTGCTGTTCTGTGCTAACTGCAAGGTATATTTCACATCAGTTTTGGGAGAAGTTTTAAAGCTAATCAATGATGTTGTCTTAACAAAAAGTCCATCTTCTTCTTAATTTGTGACAGAGTAAGAAGGGATTCTGATTAGAATAATTAAGTCATGTATGGGTCTTACATAAAAAGCTCCACCAAGTCAGCCATAATTCTGAGTCCTGAAAACTTACAGACATCAAAAGACAAAGAAGTTTATTTGTGATACAGTTAATTCCAAGACACTAATCACCCACCAATGTGGTTTCAGATAGCAAATTGTTTTCTATGTAATAGGAAGAAAAATTAGCATTCAATATCAAAACCGTGTTTTAAAAAAAGTGTATTTTTTGTACAAGTTGATCTCATCTGTGGTACCGTTTGATCTATATAATAAATGAATGCATTATAATTCTCAGTACTTAAAACAGTAAAATATATTATTTTACAAAATTATACTAAATTGTTCATAATTGTGCTTCTATGCAGTCAAGGTAAATATTCATTTAATTGTTTTCCTTTTAAATATTCATTTAATTGTTTTCTTTTTAAAATGGACTTGTCAAGTTTTTTTAAGTGCGGTTCCTTCAAGAAATGATAGATGGTAACAACACTAACTGCCCTAAATAAGTTGATTTTTGCGTTATGAATGCATGGTGTGCACATTGCAAAAATTGTAATGAATAGAATCCATGTGCCAGTTTTAAAACTCTTGATTTCTGGAGTCTCATTATATAGTTGACAGTCTGCAGTGCTGAAATGATGATCAGATAGTGGAGTGAATGGCATAGTGATAGTATGTGTCACTTATGTCATGCTGGCACAGCTTCACTTGCCAGAGAGGGAAAGCAATTTTCAAGACTATATAGAGGAAGAGTCAGAAGAAACACTGAGTGAGTAAGAGCATTGTCACTCGCTGGAGTTGATTCCACAGAGATGCACCAGAAGGGACAGGCTCCTGGTAAAGTAACAGATTAGGAAATTCGCACTCCTGGACTACTTCGTCTTGTGGACTTGTTGCATGTATTCAAGAGCCATTCTAACCAAAAGACTTTGATGTTCTAGAGTAGCAACCTTTATTAGAAAATAAAGTTGGACCATGGATCTGTTCTGTTATTTTTTTACCATGAAGCTCATCTTGCATTATTGAAAAATCTTAAAACTTTTTATGAATAAATGAATAACCTTTTTTAAGTATAATGTATGTGACCTCACCTCAGAAAATATAGACAATATTATTCTAGCTCCCTGAGGTCCTCAGCCTCCGTTCAGAATAATGGTATTGTGGCCATATTCCGTACTGCACGTGCTTCATTCAGTCTACAGTGCAGCAATAACTAGTCCATTGTACTTGAACTTGTGTTTATTTCCAAAACTGAGTAACACTGTCAGTGAAAGTATATGAGTAAAACTAATCACAGTGGCAGTGATAGCTCCAAAGGAATAGATATAAAAACTTGGTCAGCAAGAACTGCAGGCTTGAGGAGTCTGTGTCTTCCTGCAACTAGGGATCCTGGTTGTAGCAGGGACTGAGATGAGCTTCAGGAATTTACTAAAGGAACCAACTTACTGTTAAAATTAATGTAATGAACATGCATGAGTGCACTGTGTAAAAAGACTTGACATTTTATCACGAGAATATCATGAGAAGGAAGAATATGGGCCAATTAGGAAGAGAAGTCTTAAAAATCTTTTCATATTGTATTGTATTGACTTGCAGAAGGACTAAATAAAGTCCAACACTGGACATCATTGTTATCTGTACAACCTATTCAGTACATTTCCTTTCTTTTGTGAGGAAAAAAAAACCTTATTTTCTTCAAAAATATAACCTGAATTTTTGTAATCCTATTGAACTTCAGTTAATGACCTCAGAATGGAAGAAGATTAAGTTGTTTTGGGAAAAGATCATATAGGTCTTACCTTAGAATAGCTCCATCTTGTATGACAAAGAACACTTAGGATTCACAGTGGTATAGTTCATCTGTAGATGCATTTTATCAA